CTTCGCCGTGAGGCTCTTCATCATCGAAGTCATCCTCCGTGTCGACCCATCGCACCGTGATCTCACCATCCGCCGTTGCAGTCACAATGCCTTTCTGCCGTTGCCCTGTAGTGGATTTGGGAGGTATCATGTAGACATACCAACCTTTCTCGATCTCCGGAAACAGCACCTGGAAGCCCGCAAACTCAGGTCTCATGCCTGGAGGCTTGAAAGGATAATCACTGGGAAAGTCGATCGAATACACCAAGGATGCTCCTTGCAAGGGGCCACTGGATACCTCCAACTCTGCCTCCCAGGTAAAGTAATCAATCTCAGCCTCTGTAAGCCCCCCCCGTGGCTTGATCTTCCACAAACCTCGCTGTTCTTCGAAAGACCCAAAGGCTTGCATGGCGCTGGAGGGGTTCTTCTGGTCCCAGCTTTGCCACTCCTTCACTAGGCGCTTTCTGGCCGCCATGGAAGAAACTGCGTTCGCGCTTCTGCGGTGACTTTTGAGCCAACTGGATTCGGATCTGTTCTCCACCTTGGAGTTGGCAATTGATCCCTTCGGTATTCTGGGGGTGGAAAAAGGCAATCGAAAATCCATCATCAGTTTGACTTCGCCTGATTTTCGCCAAAGCCGTTGTCTTGTCACATATTTCATCCATACAAATTGCACCTCCCTCAAAGCTCGAATATGTCGCAATGTACAAATGCAAGACCTTTTCATGTGCCGTGCCGAACTCTTTGGCATTTGAAACTTACCATCAGTTCACCGACCTTGGAACAGCCTTCCTTCACCGGCGAAATAGTCTAGCTATCTGAACTCATGGGCATTTGTGGAATAAGTATCAAAGGCACGCTGCCATATTCCACGCTTGGACGGGAGCACTGTTGGCCTACTTGCTTTCTCTGCTCTTCAGAATGTCATGACACACACACACACACGATCAGGCATGAAGCCTACCTCAGCTAATTGCTCCCCTGCAAATTCATCTCCAACAGTCATATGATCAGTCGGGTTCATCCCCTGCAAAGTATCCCAAGTCAGAACCTGCACATTCTGTTGCGCTCAACAACCCCGCAGCCCCCGAAAGACCGCCAATTGTTAACTTCTCTAGTCTTTTTACCTCTTCCCCAAACTGGTGGTTGCAGTGGGGTGTCTGACATAAACAATCCCGCCCTTGCCTTTGCCCCGGCTTTGGCCGGCACCTGACAACATGTCGCAAGGCCGTTGGGCAAATCCACGGCACTGGGAACTGATTTGAACTAAATTGGAATGAAAACGGTGTATGTATATATATATATATGTTATACTATGTGTGTATATACAAATTTTACATACATACATACATACGTACATACATACAGATGTATATAAATATATATATATATATATAGTTCCAACCCCCCCCCCCAAAGATCTACCGTTTTGTAGTGTTTTGGATAAAGCTCTCAGGACTGTCCATCTGCTTCACGAAGCACGAACGAGAAAAACCAGAAAAACCAGAAGACCCAGAGCCTATGGGGCATATCCTGCTTCACTAAGCAAAAACGAGAAAAAACCTCGAGAAAACCAGAAAAACCAGAAGACCCAGAGACTATAGTACATATCCAGCTCAATAGTCTCCAGACCTTCTGGTTTTTCTTGTTTTTTTCTGGTTTTCTCGACTGGTTTCTAGACTTTGTACTATGCAGCTCACTAGTCTCCAGACCTTCTGGTTTTTCTGTTTTTCTGGTTTTCTCAAGGTTGTTTCTGGTTTTTGGCCTTTGTACATCTGGTCCAATACAGCCTGCTCTGTATGTTCAGCTCAAAGGTGTTCTAGAGCGCTACTGTGGCATCTCCACCCGCACCAATGGCTGGCGAAGATCTCACCTTCGATCAGCTCAAGGAAGTCTGCGAGGGCTACATCTGTCGCAAAACCGACCCCTTTGTCTCTGCCAGCCTCCCGCCTGGCAACTTCAATGTTGCAACTTTCCCATGACAAAGATGAAGCCCGCTGAAAATGCAGCCTCGCACTTCTTCGATCTGGTGGAGCACAAAGAGGATATCAACATTGCAGAGATGGCCCATGCCTACAAGACGGCCATGGACAAGATCGACCTGCAGATGCTGCCCCGCCATTTCAGGGAGGCATAGAATCAAATCAAGAACCGCAATCGAAGCCCTTTCAGAATCGAATCGCTTCGAACCGCTCCGGGACCGAACCGTGTAGAACCGAACCTGTGCATAACAGCTGGTGCCAAGAATCGACCAACGCAAGAACCGAACCTTTCTTGAACTGGGAACGTTACACAAATATATGATTGAGATTGACATGGCTTTGCTCACGCCACAAAGGCTTCTGCGCAACTTTTCCCGTATCCCACGCCCTTCCCTTCCTTTGGTCTCCTCCTTCCCATCCCCAGAAATTCTTCAACATTTTCCGGGGGTAGACACCGCCGGCTTCTTTTGCTTGAGTTCAGACACGGACAACGGACTAGCAACCCCTGTTTCCAAGACTTGCCGGAAAGAAGAGCTTTGACCGATTTGGTCTGACCCCTACCTATCCCCTGCCCTTCCCTTCAATAGAATTCATCCTTCCCATCCCCGGAAATTGTTCAATTTTTTTCCGGGGATCCTTCCCTTTCGGGGGGGGGGGGGCTTGGCTCTTACCACGTTTTGAACCTTCTCAAGGCAGGCGAGCAGCAGGAGTTGGGGGGATCGTTTTCGATGTTTCAGACTGGATTCAAACCGCCCCCGCAAATCAGGCACATCGAGAAAAAGGACTTGGGCCTGCTTGTTAATATTCCGGGCACCCCGGGCCGGCGCACTCCAGTTGTTTGGACGTGCCTTGCTGATTGGAGCACCTGACAGAATTGAATTCAGCCGAGTCTAAAGTTAATTCTGTCACAGGCTCCAAACAGCATGGCACGTCCGGAAAAGTCCGGAAAAAGTCCGGAAAAAGTCCGGAACCAACTTGGAGCGTGCTTTTTGCGCAGACTCCCTTTTCTCGATGTGTCTGATTTGCGGGACTCTTTAAAAGGCGTCTGAACTGGTCTGAACCAGGTCGGAAACCAGTCTGAAACATCGGACATGATCCCCCCAACCCCTGCGCCTGCCTTGAGAAGGAAAACAATTTCCGGAGATGGGAAGGTGGATTTCTAAAGAAGGGGAGGGCATGAGATAGCATAGGGGTCAGACCAAATCGGCCAAAGCTCTTCTTTCTGGCAAGTGTTGGAAAGAGGCGCCGTCCCATCTCACGCTGCGAGGCCTGGACTGCGGCCATCTGCTTTGGATCGGCCGCCAGTCAGGCGCCAAGGAGCCAGGGGAGGTGGAGCATCCTTTGAAACTTTTGTGTTGCTGGAATCAACTTTTTGCTTGCTCTCTCGCGCAGCACTTAAGTGTCTAGCAACCCCTCTTTCCAAGACTTCCCGGAAGGCGATTTGGTCTGACCCCTACCTATCCCATGCGCTTCCTTTCGTTCCGGATGAGCGGCGCTCAGTTTGCAAGAGTTGGCCGCGCAATTCTTCAATACTGTTGTCCCAGATGGGAGGTGGGCAGCTCACCGTGTTCGAGCTCACCACCCCACGCAGAAGAGCAAGCAGGGTCAGATCATCTTTGAGAAGCTCTCTGATGAGGAGATCGATGCGGGGTTTGACCACATCATGAAGTGTGGGCCCCAGTGGACGTGGAAGAACCCTGTCTTTGTGCAGCTCAAGAAGCATACCTTGCCAGGTGGGAAGAAGATCGCTGTCAAGAGTGGCACGCAGGTGATCGACAGAGCATGGCGCTGCATCAAAGATCGTGTCCACTGCAACCATCACACCAAGACTGGCACGGCTTTGCTGAGGGCGCAAATTCGATCTGCCCAGTATGCGTACTGGCACAGGGGGCAAGACATGTGGGCATGCACAGGAACCTTCATGTCATGGTACATGGCTAAGATTGTCCATGGCTGAGACAAGGCGCTGCCCTTGCACCAAATGAATGTCATTTGGATGAGGCGCCATATCAAAAAGCGCAGCTGAGCGCATCTGCTGGCATCTTTCTTGCTGAAAACACTACAAAAAGGTAGATCTTTGGGGGGGGGGGGGTTCTAGCATATAATATATATATATATATATATCCCACCAAACTGACCGGTCAGTTTGGACCTACGTGATAAGCTTATAAGGGCGTGTGTGAGGTTGTTTGCAACTTTAATACATCCTCAGCAACATTCATACAAACCGCTAGGAGTCATGCCTCAGCAACTTTACAACATCCTCAGCAACATTCATACAACGCGCTAGAAGTCATGCATTGCACACCCTCCTACAAACACCAGACGTGTTTTTTCTTTCCTGGGATATGTGGGGGATCCTCTTATAATATCGTGACATCTTGAAAACCTGAAGCCAGCTTCATAAGGGATAAGGATAGTCAAGAACAGTCTGGCGATCATCAGTGCAGAATGTTGTCACTTCTGCCTAGCAACAGCTGCTGCCGGAAGCCCCAAATCGAGAACATCTGCGTGGATCAGCGCAGGCATTCTGCCATGGGGCTTTTGCAACGCACGCTGAAAGGAGTCATGGACTTCACAGGCTCGTGCCAAGCTTGTATCAGGGGCATGCCATTCTAATGGAGAAGGAACACACATTCAATCCGTTGAGAAACAAGACGGGACTTGATCCGCAAACGTGCACAGGCATAGGTGTCCTTTTTGGTTGTATTGGTGGAAAAATACATGGCCCCGGTTTGCCTGGTGGTTTAATCATCGACCAGGGCCATCTATTTGCCGTAAAAGGACAACTATGTGCACAGGCTCCCCTTCCAAGAACGTAGGTTTTAAAGCAGCTCTGTGCACTCCCATGGTGCGAGGTATGTGTTGCCATGTGAGGCGTGAAACTCGGGACATCTCTAGGGACTTGGTTCACAATCCGAAGCTTGTGAAAGGTGGCTCAGAGAAGCTCTGGGGTGGGGTGGCTTGGCTTTCAGGGAGGCGTCCAAAGGTTTTTGTCCCGAGATGTCCGGGGCTGGGCTTATGATGGTTTTAAAGCGAAGCCAAAGGAAACCCCACCCCTTGCCACAAGCGGGAAGCCGGGTACTCGGGTACTCTCTTTTGAACAATGGAAGTGCACAAGAGGCCTTCTGGCAGCTCGAAAGAGTTTCGCAGGAAGCCAAAGCTTTGAACTCCCGTGGAATCGCGGGATCCAATGGTCTAGTGGGCTCCTTCTGCCTGAGTGCATGTTCATACCTGTGCATATGCATTTCGAGTCGAAGCAGAATGATGAACGCCAAGGAAGCTTTGCGACGCCGCCTTGACTACATCCCCCTGTCCTAAACACAGAGCTCCGACAGTTTGTGCAGAAAATCCCTTCGCATTAAATGATCCTTGTGGTAAACAAATTCGAGATGACACAAGGGCTTGACATGGCTTGCGTTATGCCTGTGAGTTGTGCAAGCCATTTGAGCTTTACCGGTTTCCACAGCAGTCTGGAAGTTGCCGCTCCAGAAAGGAGCCGGCACTCCAAGTCAAACCCCTCGCACCCTTGCCCAAATACTCCCCTGGCTCCCCTGCGAACCAGCATGGAAGCAACAAAAAAGAAGCCCCTCCCCGCCCCCCCCAAAAAAAGGAGATACCGTGAAAACCGACATGTTTCTTTCGGCTTCCATGTCAATCTGAGGAGTGGTGGACATTCTGTCGCGACCACGCGGGCCGTGAAGCCCGGCCTTAGCTCGTGGAACCACCAAGGCCGCAGACTCATCACCCGCCTGCGGTCAGCGCTCCGTCAAATCTCACGCCCAATTTATGGATAAAACAGGCAAGACCGGGGAAGACACTCGCAAAAAGGAGCCAACATAGCCACAAGAGGTTTTTGAGTTTTGACACATCCCCAGATTTTACCCTGGGATACACTTTGTCCAGACCCGGCCTACAACTCCTTTGATTTCAGGCAGCAAAGACAGTTGCTTAGACTGGCTACTCGCAAAGGTCAACATTGAACCCCAAGACATAGCTACGTCGCGTGCTTCCACTCTGGGAGTTCAACAATTTACCTGATCCCGCTTTCCGAGTTTGACTTGTTGCAATCTCCACCCTTACAATGCAAAAAGAAGTCTGACAGCCTACAATCATCCATGATTCCATGGCCTGTGGGAGGTGCAGTTTGCAAATCATCTTCTGACATCCGTTTGGCATGAGCTAAAGCTGATATGCGACCCTCCTATAAGGGCTATGCGGGGGGGGTTCCCCAAGAGAGTTTGCAATTATGTGCCAACAAGTGCGAGTCATGATCTGAGCATAACAAAAAATCAGCCTTCTGCAGACAGCGGCTGTATGTTCATGACCGACAAAGGCCTCTACAAACGATTCCCAGAATATTGCAAATGTGTGGACCAAGACACGTGTATCGTAGTTTGTGGTTGGAGGAATCCAACGTAGCTACTAGCTCAACTCATCAACTCTGGGACTGAAATTGCTACGATTCATCTGAGTCACTGGAGAAACACCCACGTGGTCGTTTTCTTTCCGTGGCATGTCTACAACTAGTCCAAATGAGTGTACAAAAGACAAAAGTGTAACTAATGGACACCAGTCCGTTTAACACGATATACGTGTTCCGACATACGGCGTTGCGACGATGAACTACTGTCTCAATAAATGACAGCAGAACTGTTGATGGCATGACGAGGGGCTTGCCAAGGTCTGGAGCAAAAGGGATCAGACTTGGGATTTGCGTTGGGTTTTGAAAGGCTTGTACTGGTTTCCAATCCAACCGGAAGCTGAAAAGACTCCGGTCCTAGAGTCTGCCTTTCCTTTCGTAAGACTTCCCGAACCCGCTGGTCCCGATGTTAGATGTTCCTGACCTGATAGCATCACCCCAAGAAATGTAGGGGGCCCAGCGTATGAGCCACGAAGTATGCGAGATTTAATGAGCTGCTTTGGGTGTGTGGGTGTGTGCGCGCGTTTGTGCGAGAAATTTGGTGAGTCCCCAACCTCTCTCCCTAATTGATCATGGGGTTTTGGATCTCAAGCATCATACTAGTTTATTGGGTTTGTCTCAACATAGGGACAGCCCCTAACAAATGGTGTTTTGCCTCTAGTGTTCTTTTGTAAATCTAACACAAGGAAACACGCCCCGTGCAAGTCTCAGCTTCTTTTGGCAGCTTCGGGATACCTCGAGAGCCATTGCGGCAGCCTCATAGTGACTGTTCGTGACGATTAAGAGCCAAACTGGTTGGTTTCCGTTGTCTCCTGTTGAACACTTCCCTGACATAACTTTAGAAGATTTCTCAGGTCTGCCTGACTTGTTCAACTACTTCACCACCTTCGGACACCTGGATTCAGCACCCAGCGAAATCGCTAGATCGCCTCGATTCGCCGCAGGCGGTCCCGGCGGTACTCCTCCACGCTGATCACGAAGGCCTGAACTCAGCCGGAAGCCGAAGATGGAAAACCCACATTTTGGGGAATACCAATTGGGGGACTTAGTGGGAACACGCATGGGAAAAATGCCGGAGCATGGGAAACTCCGTACTGGGGAAAACACGCATGGAGGAAAAGCATCTATGGGAATGTTCCAACGGTTGGGTGACATGTCCCATGGCTCCCATGAGGTTCGGCAGGTGCAGGGGCAGTTGATTGGCATGGAGTGGACACGGCTGCAGCTGTATGCAACTGCTTTATTTGCTGACACAAGCGCCTTGAGCAGGTTTTCAGCAACATCATGTCATGGTAAGCATCCCTTAGGCATTTGCGTAGTGAGGCTATCCCCAATCCTGCCGCCGCATCCCAAATCGACCATAGTGCTCCTTTTCCCCATTTCCCTGCATGGCAGGGAGCCAGGATTCTCGCCAATCTGAAGCTTTCTGAACTTGCCAAAGAGGGGCTGTTGCTCGGCTGGGAACTAGCTTTCATCTCCTCTAACCACTCCACAACAAGCTCCCAGGCCCAACTCTTCGGCCCACATCTGGGGTACACCGAAATACTACTTCCGGATCCTGGAGACAACGTCAAGGAATTCCCAACGAGTAATTCGCGGCAACGTGTTGGACCCAAACGATTGATGCCTCGATGGACGTCTCCGAATCAAGCGTGGGCTGCAGGATCCTGGCTTGATCATGGGCGTGGCTTGCTTCAGTGGATCCCCAAAATGGCGCAAGGGTTAAACGGTTTGCCTCTTCACAAAACAGAAAGTACCCTCAAACAACGACACACCCACATGGGAAAATGAGTCAGCCTCCCGTGCGAAATCACAGTCGACTGGACACTTCGACCAAACCTCCAGGGATTTCAAGGGCTTGACCGCTGTTTGGGTTCTCCATGAGCGGGCAACCAACTGGAACATAATGTGGCTGTGGGTCAAAAAGAGGTACCCCAAATGGAACCCTGGTAAATGGAAACCCCGTGGTATCCTGGCGGTGTCCCATGTGGAAACACACGAATCTGAACAACTTAGGACTAGTAATCTTCTGACTAGTCAGGTTGTGCTCACCTAGAAGTTTCTCGTTGAGGCCACGCAGAGTCTTGGTTTTAGGGTTCTGGGAGCGGCTTGTGGAGCAAGTCCAGCATGTCTGTCCAAGTCGGAAATGGAACCTTCCGACCTGCGATATAGTTGATACCCTAATACGTCTCTCAATTGTTCAGCGGCTGTGGGAGAACATTAACGCACGCATTCCCATGTTAAACTACCTGGGAAACAATTGATGGCTCATTGATGGATGAAACAATCGCACAAAGAAGCGGGAAAACAGAGCTGCCAAAGCACTGGGCAGTGACGCAGCGACTTGGCGCACTGGTCCTGCCCGAAGCGCCTTCTACGAGTCTCGCCGGCTCCTGCGTGCCAGCCCCTCCCAGATCGGGCCCGGAGGGCTTGATCCCCTCCCGGAGCGAAAGTATAGAGGGGTCCCGGGCCAGTTTGGAATGCCTGCCAAAATCCTGGAAACATATGGCCATGGGTCAAAATCCCGTACCCGCAGTGAACATCCCAATCCCCACTAAAACAGACTAAAATGGGTGAATTCACCTACCCCAAAATGGTACCATTGGTTTTGACCCACGGCCATATGGACACAACGGGGAGAAACACCAAAAGCGAGCGCGTTCGCAACGGCCGGAGCCAAGGAGCACAGGCCGCCATTGGGTTCAGAGGTGCAATGTTGCTCCCGATTCAACACAGGCAGCATCAACGAGGTCAAACCATTCGGCTTAAAAACGCTACTCCCCCACTGTGCTGGTAGTATCAAAACAACAAAACAAAAAGACACAGGGATCATGACTAGCAGCCTTGTTTTGCGTGGTTTTCTGCTGGCTTTGAAACTGAAACCGCTTCTCGGCCCCTGTGCGGGCCTCTCAGCCCAAGCCCTTCCAAACCTGCCAGGCTTACATCTCAGATCTGAAGTGTTGCAGTTTTGTGTGCTCCAAACATCTCTTCGAAATGACAGGTCAAACAGTCCTTCATGTACCCACAACGCGCCCTGGCATCTTAAGTGGGACTGCTCTGACTGAGGGAACCCCCCACGTTAACAAGGCAGCACATCGCTGCCTGCTTGGGATAGAACACCAGTTGTTTCAGGGACTCTACTCAGTTTGACTGCGACTCTACTCACCTGGGTACGCCATTCAGGTGTCATTCAGGGCTCTATTGCCAACTCACCAACCACCAAAAGCAACCTCAACCAAAAGGCGATGTACAAGCCATAAGAGGAGATACATGTGTATTTAAAAAAAACATATATATATATATATATGCTGGGTTGGTCTTTGACTCCGTGCAAAAAGTCCAGCTATTTGCCAGCCAGTGGGGCAACGCATCTTTTCCCGGAGCAAACCAAGGAGAGGCACCAAGGGCAAGCTGCTCCACTCAAGACTGGGCTGCCCTCAGATCCCCCGCTAAAAGTTCAACTTTTGGTGGGTTAAATGGAAATCCCCACAAAACCCTAAAAAGCCTTTTAAGGAACCGGATGGCTGGGAGCCACCAAGTTGACTCGGGGCAACCTGCCACCCAAAAAAAAACGTCCGCGAGGACACCCGCCTTCAGCACCTTCAGGACGCCGGCCAGGTCCGTGACGCCCAGCTTCCTGCGGTGAAACTTAGTCCGAACCGGGGACCCGTGGATTGGCCGGAAAAAGTCGCCAAAAGTCCAAACACTATGGTCTTCCCAAAAAGTTCGAAGTTCAGGAAATCAGGAAGTGAGGGCACCGGGGAGGGGGGGGTGATAGAATCCGATCCCACTTATTGCTGGACATGACGACCCAGGAATGAACCTGGTTCATTTTCTTCACAGAATCCGGATCACTTTTCGGGGCAACAACCCATTCATCCATCAGGCTGAGAAATCCGGGGTCGACCTGTAAACAAAGCCAACCAAAACCGTTCACCAGTTTTCCGCCCGACAAACCTTTGCGGCTCGGAGCAATCCTCAAGTTGTCTCGTGTCTCATAGGATATGGAACTCTAAATGCCGTGGTTGCCCCTGGGTGTGCTGTTCAATTGCGAAAAAGGGTATCCCCCAAAAACAATTGACGATGGCCCTTTTCTTTGTGCCTGAAACTTGGCGAGTCCATCCGCCAGAATTGGTGGACATCTAGCAAGTCGGCTTGTGGTTGAATTTTAGTAAGTCGCCTGGTTGTTGTGGGAAAATGAGGGTGGGGGCGGGGTTGTGTCCCCTGCGTTCTTGCAATACAAGAAGCAAGCGTTGCACTTTAGTCCTTTCCTTCCCAGTCGACAATGAAATGAAAGAAAAGGACTCACATTGAGCTTCCATCAGTTCATGCGCTGAAATGACGGGTGATCTACTGCGAACCCTGTTTTTGATTCATTTCAGGGAGGCAACACATCGAACTTCAGCCATTGCACTCAGCGCTTTTGCCCAGCACAGCAGCCCTGCGCTCAATAGGACACGCATCTCTTCGGCGTCCATCAAGTGGTCGTCACCTACGACTGGCACCGGGTCACCGCCTTCTCCGAGATAAATGGGTTGCACGGCCCTTGGGAGCAAACAACACAAAACCAAATAGGGATTTTTCAAAAGAACCCCTCTGTTTCTTGGGATCCACTCTGATCTGGTGGCTCTTGACAAAAGAAAAGAGCGTTTGCTTGAGGATGTTCCTTGGCTTCTGGCCACTCCTCTAGGCTGCTGTCGGCTGTTGGGGGGTTCAAGACCCCGTTTCAAAGATCGAACGCTTCGGGTTCCAGCCACAAGCAGACAAGTAAGTCCTGACACGTTTGAAAGTTGGATTTCGAACGAGGATGCCAAACCGCACGAGCTGGAAGTGGTGGTATACAAACAGGATGGTACAGGTAAGCCTCTATCTTTCCCCCAAGTGGGTTCTTGGGTGCCCAACACTCTGAAGTTGCTCAACATTAGCAAATTACGTAATTAGCCGTCCGTTTTGCTGAGAGTACAAACCTCCAAACAAGCAACTTGGCTCCTATGGGAGTTTATATGAGACGTAAATATCGAGGTGTCATCCTTAAGAAACCCGAAGGCCCCACCCTATACCGGCCCCTCACGGTGTTACAAAGCGAGCTTCAATGAAAACCCCCCATCTAACTTGAGTCAACCTCAGAAACAGTCAAAATCCTGACCCCAAAATAAGGACGATCTTCTTGGGAAGGCCAATGCTTCAGCTACTAGCTACGGGCGCTTTTAGGAAGACTGTGCTCAAACCAGCCCAGAGAAACGAAAACGGGTGCCCATGTCCACATTTTCCAGGACCAAATAGATTGAAATCAAAATAGGTACCTTACGCCAAGCTTTCAAACGTATAGTACCCGTTCTGGAGCCCCTTCAACAGGCGAAGTTGGGCCAGGACGAAGCCCACTTTTCGGCCACCTGACTCGTCTGTCGTGAAACAGACTCTGCGAGGGGCCTGCACCAAGAGAGCTTGCGTAAAGTCTCAAAAGGGTTGCACGATCCATACTTGGATATTCAGCCCATGCCTAAGTAGGTCTTTCCAAGGACGTAGAGCCCACCAAACACTGTTGTCCCATTCATGGTTAGAAGCTACTTTCCAAGTGGATGGAGATCCAAGCACGGGAACCAGCCTTTCTCCGTGAGTTCACTCAGAACTAGGCTGGTATTCAGGGTATGATCCTTTTTTAGAGATGGTGGGGGATTCACCTTGGGCCCCGACCAGCCCGCTTTTCGAGCCCTTGCTCAACTCGTGTGTTCTCTCGGTGCTTGTCCACTCGAGTGCTTGAGTTACATTACATATCAAGGAAATCAGCGGCCGAATCCGCCGAAAGGTGCAAAAAAGATCCTGGAGCGCAAGACCGATATTTGTTGGAACCTTGAAAGAAAAAGGTGCCAACAGCAGTTATGCACCTTAGCGCAGTTGGGACACCAGCTCGTGGATTTCATCTCAATCGCGCCTGGCTCCATCTGCTGTCCCACAGAACGCCGGGACCTGGGGTGAATTGATTGCCGCACGGCCTAACCCGCGCTTCAACACTTGGGTTTGTTGTTTTGTTCAAGTTACCCTTGAGGCTGTTTGGAGGGAACGGTTGACAGGCCGTCTGGAGAGTTCCAAACACTCCAGCGAAGAGCAACATGACAGCTGATGAAGCCGGGATCTGCTTGTCCTTTGAGGCTTTTGCACCCCCAAAGGCTTCAGGCAAGCTGCACGAATCAATTGATGGAGGGCACGGGGTAGATTTGCGGGTTTGGCATGGCTAGAGCCTAGCCACAGGTGGGGCCACTTTAAGAGCAAACGGCTAGTGAGTGCCACCTTCTAGTTCTGACTGGAAACGATTGTCACTGAGATGGCCGGCTGCTTTCTTCAGCGCACGGAAGAACTGGTCTCAGTGTGTGGAGAAGTACCCCTGCTCCCACTAACATAGCATTTGTGGGAAGACCAGGATACCTGCAAGATCAATTTCCTCAAGGAACACTTTGACAGGTGCCATGTTAGTGGGAGAGAGTGTAAACCTTTCACACATCACCCTAGAAGGGGCCCGGCGGATCGCCATGGCCATGGATCTGATAAGCTCTGGTGATAGCTCAAGGGTGGATATCGAAGTTCTAGCTCCAGTACCCCCCCATACCAAAGCGGCGAATCCAGCGACTCTTGTAGATATAAGTTAGCAAAGAACAACCTCTCAGCAAGGGGTTGGTTTCAAGACCTCGCAATGGGTGACCATCCTTGGTAGACTCAAAGGCCTAACGACTTGAAGAACGTTTGCCATCCAGAGACCCAGCGGAACATTGCTCCACAGGTTCGTGACCATCATTCTCAGCCACAGCATGATAGATATATGGGTGTGGGTCAAAGTAAACCACCAGGGGACAGGGTTCCATTTTGGGTACATATTTTTGACCCACAGCCATATGTTTGCAGGAACACCCTTTGAAGCACGGACCGGTTGGGCTCGGTCGCGCGGTGTGTACTCTGCAGCGCCAGAGACAGATCAAGCTGAGCCTGCGCTAGCAACATTTGGCCGTTTGGACCGCTCCCTTCTGAAACACTCTTGAAACATACCGATTGGCTTATGCTCTCACATTCTTTCCGGGAAATCACGCGCTTTCTGACTCGAGTCACATGAAGCACCCCCGCTTCAGCCAACTGAATCCTCCCACTTTCGAGTGGCGTCTTGATGCCTAAAAGCTACGCGGGTGAGTCCGTACCAAGAGCCCTTCCAGCTCCTTGCCCACAGGATGTGCAAACAAAATCCGACCGTAACCTTTGTGGAATCCTGGCTAAGCACGAACCATCTGAAAACAAAGAGGTCGAAAGGTTGATTTGCTTGGACAAGTTGTTCTCACGAAACGTCCGTACAAGGGCCAGTGCTTGTGTGGCGCAGCCCTTTTGAAGTTGCGGCCTTGTTCAGAAGACCACCAAGCCCCCAGCCAGAAAATGGGGGGCTGTAGCCAAGGTTGAGAGAAATTGGCAGACACTACACAGGGCCCCCAAAACGGAATCAAAGCCATCCAGTGTCTGTAGCAAACATTTGGGATGCATCAATGGTGAAAAGACATCAGGGAGTGGAGTGTTCAGCTGTTTGCTCAAGTTGCCCACATTTGACACAACCAGGCCTGCCTGCTGAAGACAACTTTTGGTCACCGAACCAAAACCTGGGTTGCATGCAATTGAGGCCCCTCCAATAGCTCTTACGAGCAATGATAGGTGTTCAGCTGCTCCGACATCCCAGCCATGTCGGATGGGCCACCATTTTGCGTGCTATACCACAAGCCTGTTGCTCCAAGACTCTGATATCGTGGAAACAAAAAGAGTCCGTCACCACATACTAAGTCATGCACCAAGCATGCACACATAATCATGCCGCACGTGAAACGCACGCCCCTGGCGTAGAAAGAAATCTCCCACGCTTGTCCAAGCCCAAAGGGGAGACCCTGTCAAATGTTTAGCGAGGCCTCACTTCAGCTGCCTATTCGTTCACCCGCCAGAATGGCCCTTGAAAGGGAAGATGCTCTATATCAGCTGACTGCATTAATTACTTTATATTTGCGCTACAGCTGCAGGGAATTTGGGAACAGCCCTGAGCCAAGCAATAGCAGGTGCTTGTATGGAATGCTTGAAACCTTTGTTTCGATGCTCCCTACCCAGAGCAATCACACCAAGTCAAGGCATACCCTTCTAAGCGCACCCGCTTTGGGCTTGTGTTCAAGCAAACCTCGGGAAAGCCAGCCATGTTGGAGGTTTCTTTATTTGAGACTCCAAAAGGCCTGCGCGTCTGGTGCCACTCGCGTTGACGCCATGCTTGCTAGCACCAAAGCTGCATGCTGCCACTGCCGAGCCCCGCTGCATGCCTGGAACGAAGGTTGGGGCGACGTGCTGGTTGGAAGACGGTTGAAACCACTTGAGGATTGTCAAAGTGAAAGCGTTTTCATTGTGGACCCCAATGCCTTTTGCGTTTCCTTTAGGATGGGCAAAACAAAAGTCAAACAACGGCATTCTGATTTTGAGCAACCCTCGTTTGCGGCTGGTACTGCAATTGCCGGGTCCTTAAAAACTGCACTGCGCATCTCTCGGACCTGCTGTGTGGCAACATTCTCACTAGGTCTCCCTGAAGCCACCACTCTTTCACTATGAAAGGGGAGGGACAGCTTGAACTAGTAGCGGTGCTGGCAAGTAGCACAAGGAACCGAGTAGCAACCCCTCATGATTTGCATCTCCAGAGTGCCTCACGCTAGCCGTGGCTCATTCGCTCGTGACACAACATACAGTACATGTCACTTCAACACAACAACCAGCTGGGCTGGAAAGGCACTAATCATATCACATGGTGTACGGCGCAATTGACAGTCAATCAACATCAACCAACCACAATCTGAGGTAAACCACGTAGTTACAAAATCATCTCTCCAACTATAATGTCACAAGGACATCAACCATAGCAGCTCCGATTCCATTGCATCTCAAGGTCAGCATGATCCTGCCATGACGAGCTGGTGAGGCTCTGGATTGGCTTTGCTGGCTGGTGCGGCTACCCGCACTCTTTGTCGCCATGCCAAAGCCATTTGCCGAAAGTCTCCCCGCAAGAAAGCAAGCAGCAGGAGCCCATGCAGGGAGCACCCCGCGCCAGAACCATGTTTGACACGCAACGAGATTCCTTCTGAGATAATTTCAGCGACTCAGTCCTCTGTACCTTCCCACGGCGACCGTTTCAGCACGGCTCCCGCGGCGCGTTTCCGCGGCCTTCAATGCAGCACCGTAACCCCCGAGTTCGGCTCGTTCTCCCAGGTGCCTGGGATCGGTTCGCGGCAAGCAAACAGACCTACACATCAACGACCCGGGGAGTTCAGGTTCTGTGTCCCTTTCCCTAGTGCTCCTTAGCTTCAAGTCTTCGGTGATCCCACCGAAAGGCTTCAAATGCGACAAATCTGCGGCAGCAGCGAGGGATCTGCAAAGTGCTGTGCACACATTTACCGCCATGCAAACACTGCGAAGGCGACCGAACATCCATGTTAGAGGCACGTTTGGCAGTCACAACACAATTCATATGCAATTCTGAAAATCAAACTGCCAAGCAGTTTGTCCTCAACACAAAGAACGTGCCAATGAACTCAGACTGCCTCATACAAGAATCCGGGGACGGATGCCAAACCAACACAGCGGAGCAAGGAAGTACATGTGATTCCGACTCCTGCGCTGCACGTGACAGTCGCTGTCCTTTCATACTTTGCCTCTAGGCGCACACACACACAAACACACACAAACACACACACACACAAACACACACACAACCACACACACAAACACACACAAACACACACACACACACAAACACACACACAAACACACACAAACACACACACAAACACACACACAAACACACACACACACAAACACACACAAACACACACAAACACACACAAACACACACAAACACACACACACACAACACACACAAACACACACAAACACACACACAACACACACACAACACACACACACACACACACAACACACACAACACACACAACACACACAAACACACACAAACACACACAAACACACACAAACACACACAAACACACACAAACACACACAAACACACACACACACACAAACACACACACACACAAACACACACAAACACACACACACAAACACACACACACAAACACACACACAAACACACACACAAACACACACACACACACACACAACAAACACACACACACACAACACACACACACTACACACACACACACACATCACACACACACACCCACACACCCACACACACACAGACACACAACACACACACACACACACAACATCACATCACATCACATCACATCACATCACATCACATCACACCACACCACACCACACCACACCACACCACACCACACAAAACACACACACACATCACACACACATATCACACACACATCACACACACACACATCACACACACATCACACACACACACATCACACACACACCACACACACACACATCACACACACATCACACACACACACACGGACACACACACACACACGCACACACACACACACACACACACACACACACACACACACACACACACACACACACACACACACACACACACACACACACACACACACACACACACACACACACACACACACACACACACACACACACACACACACACACACACCCAAACACACACACACACACACACACACACACACACACACACACACACACACACACACTTATCTCGAGAGGCTTCACTAGCCGAGATGAAAACCGCAGTCAGTAAAAATGCTCGAATGCAAATGCAAATCAACAGGTCACAACGTCGACACCGAACAGGAAGCAACAGCGACAAACAGAACCCGCAAAAGGAAATAGGCAGGTACGTCGGATTGATCAGATCCGATATCCCATGACTGAGGTAGCTTCGTTGAGTGCGGTCCCTCAGTCATGCCGCACTCCCCTGCAATGTGGAATTTCCGTCCGTGCTCCAGGACGCTTCACACACACGGAGCCCCAACTGGGGCGACATCACTTGTGCAAGGCCCATTGAGTCTTGCAAGCATCAATTGTGCGAGAAAGTCTTGTGGCGATGACTGACCACACCTACTTGGCTTTGGAATTGGTCTTAAGGGAACGGAGGAGTTCAATCTCTCCCTCAGTCCAAGGCTGCGAGGCTTCAGGTTCGGCCTCAGTAGAGGCATCAGTCCTGGTCGATGTGGTAGCTTCGCTTGGTCCACGAGCTGGTTTTGGATGCCGTAGATCGTGAGGAGGCCAAATCACGTGCGCGGCGAGCTCGTTTTTCGCCGGGAGAAGACGGAGGAGGGGTGGGCGGAGCCCAATGATCAGGGAATTGTTCGTCATGATCAGTGGGAAGGTGTTCATCTGGAGCATCAGGAGATGGCTCAAAGAGGTCCTCGAGGGGGGCCAGGAGGGGTGTTGGTGGTGAGTTGGTCAGGTCCTCAATGGCGGGGTTGAGCGTGGCCTCCGGTGCCAAATCAGGTTCGGCAGGCGGACTCTCAGGGAACTCGCGGATGGTGGCGATGCCTTGTTGGGCAATGCCAAGGATGAGTTCGAAGTCTTGGAGCAGCTGGCGTGCTGTGTTGGTATTCATGCTCGTAACGGATTTTGGTCAAACAGTCAAACAGCTGCGGCGCGAAAATCAGGTCAAATCTGTCAGGATGCAAAGGCAGAGAAGAAAACCAGTGTGGTTCCGCAAAGGACGGTTTTTCTTCACTTTGTAAGGTGAAACCGTGTTGGAGGTGCAACCTCTTCAACATTGCAAGACCCTGACCTCGCTGAAACTCAGGAAAGGAAACTCGGTTGATCAGCGTGCGTCCGGAATAACATCCAGATTCCTTATGCATCAGTGGTGCGGCTGACTTGACGGAGAGCATGTTGTGCTTCTCATGCGAGGGGATGAAGGAGATGGTGCTGCTTGTGAGGTTCAGTCGGAACCCCAAGAAGTCCAGGGCGGCTTCTGTGTCCAGGGAGATGTCTCCTCCATAGAAGTGTTCGTCGCACAGTATGTTGGCTGCCGGAGTCGAGAGCCACCTGGGGGTTGCGATCACGAGTCTGTTGTCCACGTAGCGGAGTAGGAGAGTATCTTCAACGGAGCGAAGTCCCGATGTGATGTGAGTGTTGGTCCAACATTGTTCGGCGACCGCGATCACCATCAAACAGAGAGCTGGGGACGCGGGGTATCCCATCGGTGCCCCACGTGTTTGCCTGAATGAACGAAGGCCGACAGAGAAGATCTGCATGTCAAGGGTGGCCTGAATGATCTCGGGGATGTCGTCGAGCCACAGGGTGCGTTGTGTGGGTTTGTGTCGGCGACGGCGTCCGTTGTAGACGCGGGTGATGGCAGAGGTGTCGAGTGTGTCCACTGTGAGGTGTGTGGTAGAGGAGTGTGGTTGTCGTTGTCGGTACCAGGTTAGCAGTAGTCGCCAGGCGAGGAAGGGTGCAAGCATCGGTCTGGAGGGGCCAGGTGGACTGAGGCCCCGGAATCGTAAACTGGATCGAATGGCGGAAAGGCATGCCTGGTGGTGTGGTTCAGGCAGGTGTGTGGCTATGCGATGAAGGACATAGAGAGCGGCGGGTGGGAAGTCTCTGCTCCGTATGTAACGGATGGCATCAAATCGTCGTAGAGTGTTGCTGCCAAGATCGCCCAAAAATCGCCACAAATCCAGGCGGTGGTTCATGCGCTTGGCCAGGAAGGCCTGTTGTAGGGCGATGGGTAGTCGTAGTCGGCGGCGTTTTCGCCAGATGGTGGCGAAGCCCATGTGCCGGGATTGGGAGAAGTCCAATTTGCGTATGAAGCCCGTGCGTGGCCGGAAATGTTTCTCGATGAAGCCAAAATTGAGAGACGGTTGCAGTTCCTGGATGTAGAACTGTTCAGTGGCAAATAGGTCCGTTGCCGGAACGACAGTGTGAATGGGCACCGAGGTGTAGTGGGGGAAAAAGTCGAAATGTGCCCACCACCGGACTGCCAGTTCGGCATTGACCAGATGATGTCGCTGAACTTGGAGTAGTTTGCGAAGTTGGCTGCGGCCCCGTGCCAGGAGGGAGGCGCGAGTGGCTCCGAGGTAGAAAAAGGCCTGCCACTTTGGATGGCTGGTGAATCTCAGATAAACCGCTGAAGGGACAAGCTGAGAAGAGAAATCGGAAGCAGGGTTGTCCAGGCCAAGTCGAGTAAGCAGGGCTTTCAGTCTGCCGGAACCACAGGAGAGATGGCCAAAAAAAAAAAAATAAACAATAAAAAACACAAAAACCAAAAAATTTAAAAAAAACAAAAGCAACAAAAAAAAAAAAAAAAAAAGCACAAAAAACAACAAACAACAAAGCCAACACACAAGTAAAAAAAAAAAAAAAAAAACAAGGACAAAAAACCCACCCACTCCCCACCATCCCCCAACACCCCCCCCACCCCCCACACCACCCTCCCCCCCCCCCACCCACCCCCCCCCCCCCCCCCCCCGACAAGACTCAGCAGCTGAGCGCTACGTGCCCGGCGCAAGCAATGAACCCGTACGTTGCCGTCCACGGATGGGCAGTCACCGAAGAGTAGGGAAACTGCAGGACCGAGAAGAAAAATATGGTAGCAGTGGTGTTGCCAAAATTTGTGCTGCCTGGCTGTGCGTCGTTGTCGGTGTGCTGTTGAGAGTCACTGGTAGAAGTGACTCGCAGCGGCCAGGATGCGACCCAAGGCCGATGACCCCAGTTTTGATAGGGTTCGCACCGGGATGCCCCATAGCACAGCGGCTCGTTCAAGTTGGGCTCTGGTGTCGGAGTCCAGTGTGGTTGCCCATTTTGCGCAGTCGTTGGACCAGCTTTTTAGGACTTGCTTGCTCTCTTTGCTGGTTTTCTGAGAGGTGATCCATCGCTGGACTTTGGTGTCGGAAATGTCGGGTGGGAAGTTGCTGGTGAGCCAGTGGCAAACGTGGGGAGGTGGTTGGAGCAAGTCGCGGGGCTCCTTCCAAGTGGGTGGGGAGGGGAGGGGGGGAGGGGTCGGGGTGCCGCCGTGGGTGGAGGGGGCTGGAGGGTTGCCGCCGTGGGTGGGGGGAGGCCGGGGGGGGTTGGGAGTCGTCTGCAATGCGAGTGGGCAGGGGTAGAGCGGGGGATCCGTCCTGCGGTGATGTGTCAGGTGTAGTCAACCGTGGTCGCTTCATGCCGAAGTCCAGGAGGGAGGCCTGAGATGGATTGGCTGGGCGTTTGTTGGATGAGGTGGGTGTGGGGGGGAGAGGGGGGGGATGAAGCCTGCTGGGCGAGTTGGTTGTGTGCGTCAGCAAGCTGTTGCTGAAGCTGGAGTATGGTGGCCGCGGAGGCCGGGTCGGCCGTAGTGGTGGGTCGGAGGGAGATGAGGACGTCGAAGATCTTGCTGGTGAGTAGCTTCATGGCTGCTGGTTTGGTGGTCGAGGCGCCCTCCTGCGTGGCTACATGGAGGGCGAGGGCGTCCAGGT